CGGATATTGTACAGTAAAAAATATGTCCTTATAAGTAAGACACAAATCTTTCAAGTAGATTTAAACAACTTGTGACAGCTTCGACTAGATAAAATGAGACAAGTGTAAGAATAGTTAAGTAGAGCATATAAGTGCTTTCATCTTTCAAACGCATCCTTAAAATATTCTTCGGGAGAGAACTAATCAACTCTATAAGATAACTTTCGAAAAATGAAAACAAAACTTTTTAATAAGAAAATGATAACTATCAAGATAATGGCTAAAATACCAATATTTATCATAAAAGAAAACATGCCATGAAAATCATATGATAGTCGCCTCATTCATTGGTATATTACTGCCTTACCAATGGCCATCTTAATATCTAGTCCTAAGATTCAGCAACAGTAAAAAGTATATTCTATTGAAAGAACATGTCTAGTATCTGAATATATGAGAACAATAATATAACAAGGCAACAAATTTTAGTATGAACCTTCTTATTCGCTAAGAAGACATTAAATCGGGAGCAAATACTCTTACCATGAGATCAGTACAGAGTGGTTTACACAAATGCAACATTAAAAAAGCGTATCAATAACTATGAATGAAACTTAATTTTCTCTTATCAAAATATATTTTACGAAGGTAAGAAAAAAAAATTATATCTTTTAACATTGCAATTTATAAATATATTCTAGAAAGGTAAGAAAAAAAGAAAAAAACTGAAATCTTTCAACATTGCAATTTATAATCTCTAAAAAAGTACAACTAGATAAATGGCAAAAACATTTGATTTAGGCATTGAAAAAAATAATTACTAACACAGGGATATTAGAACCAAGAAGGAGTGTAATAATTAAGTAAAGAATTTGGTCAGATACCTCCAAAAGTTGTTTACTGAATTTCATTGCGGACCTTCTTATCACTGTAAAATTTTAAATCACCGAATATGGTATTGGTGATCAAAAAAGCAAATAAATTAAATAAGACTGACAAGAAGCATTAATAAATCATTAATGTTATTGGTTGCTTCACTGTTGAAATGTATTATAATCCCCACTGATTCATTATCAAGAACATAATAAATAGATTGGATTGTAGGTTGCAATGAGAACTGAGAAGCAATGTAAATAAGAACTATGTGTGTGTGTGTGTCTTTGAATGTATATGCATTTCATAATCCAGGCTTACATCATCACCTATCTTTTGATAAGATATTCTGATCAAATGACTTTTTACTGTATATGTAAACATTTGGTATATTCATCCTTCCCTATTCTATCCAAAATTCTACCTCTCGTTACCGTACAGCAGTTAACAATACTCTTATATCACTAAGACTTTTGATTGATTAAGATAGCCCTACACAGGTTAAAATTAGCATATCATTATCTATTTCCCTTTTTCGTTTGGCAGTGTGGATTTCGTTACTGATACGACAAGCAGGGAACATCCCATTATCCTTAATAATATGTATCATTCAGAAAAATACATAAATAAGAAATAAAAAAACGCAGAAAATAAAATATCAAGATGCTATCTATCCATCGTAAGCAGAACTCCAGTCACTGTTTAAACCTCAAGTATGCCTTCACAATCAAAGCTCTAAATATTTGTATTTGAAAACACTCTATATCTTCGTAAAGAAAGAAAGAAAAAAAAGAAAACAAAAAGGGAAAATAACAGTAATAACAAAAATGAGGACAATAATAACAAAAATCAGTATTGATGATTAAGTTCATAATAACAGTAATAATGATAACAATAATAATAATGATAACAATAATGATAGTAATAATAATAATAATAATAATAATAATAATAATAATAATAATAATAATAATAATAATAATAATAATAATGATCATAATAAAAAAATCATCATAATAATAAAAATCATCATAATAATCATATTAATAATAATGATAATCATAATCATGATAAGAGTAATAATAATAAAATACTGATAAAAATATGATAACAATAACAATTATAAAAGCATTGATAAAAGAAAGAAAAAATACTAATAACAATAAAAAAATATTAACAATAATCATAATAATAATCAGAAAAATAAAAATAATAGAGACACAACAATTTAAAAGATTCATAATGAAACATAACTCTTAAAAATGAAATAATAATAATATCATCACTCAATCCTGACACAAATGCAGAACATCATACCTTATAAATTGCACAGGGTATACTCAACACAATCATTTGGCACTAAAAACACTGCCGACTACACACCTACATATAAGAGAATGAAAAACAGAATGACCTATGACCTATGTACTTCATCATACATACAGGACATCAGATAATAAAAATCGTTAAAGGTTCAAGGTTTCTGCAATACGTCTTCGTCTTGTATTGATACAACCATTATCTTAATCATTATTGATACTACAAAAAAAGTAAAAAGAGAGAGAGGAAAAAAAAGGGGGGGGGAGGTTAAATACCGTACAAGAAAAATGAAAAAGAAGAAAACAAATGTCAGTTTTTGTTAACATCCGTATGGCACGTTATTTCACAGTAATCGGTTCTTTTTTTAATGTAAAATTTTACTTCCCATTAACTTTTACTGGAGAAGAAAATGAATTTTTATCTCCTGCTTTTGTCTGCATTTAGCAAAAAAACAAAGGACATAATGTCTATAATTATCCATCCCCTAATGGTTATGTCCAAAACTTATGGCAGAGACTAACTTGGATGTTCTCTTTTTTTTCACTTTAGGGAGATTTCGGTCTTTGTTCTATCAGTGTGAAACTTCTCTCAAACACATCAGCCAAACTGACCAACATACGATATGTTTCTGATGGTTGAATAAATGCTCTTTTGACACTCACTGTCTCGACCTTATCATAAAGTTATTGTGTGCGACTCTTAGCTGCCATGAGCTTTGTGACTATGATCATAGTGTAATCGAATCTTATTACTTTATTTCTCATACACACATAATCACTGAATGAACATTTACAATGATCCTTAGTCGGGGTCAAAATTTAAGAGGAAAATACTATGCCATCCGGTAATTAATCATAGTTTTCCTAATTGATATTAATTTTCCTTGGGTCATTAAGAAAGCAGTCTAACTGACACTATCATCCGCATTCTCCAAATCCTCTCATCATTGCTCCACCACGTGTAACAAAAATGTACAGATATTTACGGTCACCCTCAGTTTCATCCAAGGTTTGAAGGAAACACATTGCCAGTCAGTGATTTATAGCAATATTCCATAGACAGGAAATATTATCTCTACCCACTCTTAGAGAAAAAATCTAAAAGAAATATCTTACAATATACATTTAAATTACACTATCATATATATGCAAGTGAAAATTCACTCTTCCAGGACAAGAATAATGTGTAACTTTTAATTCTAATATTTCTTAAAGACTTTCATAAGAAATAAACCCAATTTGTTACCTTATTTAATCGCTTAAGCAAATAACATGCTCAGCAAAGCAATACAACTAATACCATTTCTTTTTCTTTTACCTTAATGTAATAAATGACTTTTAATTTCAATAGACTTTACTACATACACAGCAGCCTAGTCAAAACTATGGTGCTTTTGTATATAGGATTTGTAGAAACATTTCACCTATTGACCTTACAATAATAACAGTTGTCCTGATATACAAATGTGTAACTTTCACAAAACACATGGCCATTGACAAGCCTTGGAAGTAAAGCTGTTTCCATCCTTAGAAAAAAAAAGAAATAAAAAAAAACTGCCTTGAATGGCTCTCCTCCATTTTCCAGCTTAGGATTCTTCAGGCTTGGGGTCGGGTTTGGGATCTCCTACTCTGTGGTTGCCCGCGTGGAGACAGCAACGCATGTAAGCCTCCTGGGTGAGGTGGTAGTCCTTGTAAGGAGGGTATAGGACTGCATCCAGTTGCTTCATGTTCTCAACAAGGAGAGACTCGGCCTTCTCCAAGTCGAAGGTCTCCATCTCTTTACATGCGGCCTTGAATGTCTGCTCAGTGTTCTGTCGAGAGAGATTGAGGTAGTTTAGCAATGACTTGGTTAACAAAGGATGATACATGTTAAGTAATGATGTTTATAGAAAAAAAATTATGTGAATTTTAAAGATGAAAAAAAGATAAAAAAGAAATAAAAAGTCATTTGCCTTAAAAGGTAACATAATACTGACACAGACTCAATATAAACTTCACAGATGAAACTTAGGCCTATCACAATAAAAATATAAAGCAAATAGTAATATATCCATAACAGGAATCAAAATTGATTCTGTGATAAAAATAAAATATATCTTCCAAAATAGAAATACTTTTATAAATTTTTCTTCAATTCTTTAACTGCATTTCATCCCCAGTATCTAACTGTCTCACCCTATCAAACTAATTCAACCTTCGTACCTGCAAGTTCTTCAGAGCTCCTAGGATATTTGTCTGGTCTCCACAGCGGTCGCACTTGAAGAATGGTATGACTGTCTGGGCAATGTTGACTGGCAATGGACCTTGGCATTTGTGGCATTTGAAGTACATCACTTTGTGCTCCATTTCCTTGAACAGAGGCCAGTCTTTCTGACAAGCCTGTGAGAGAAAAAGTTTTACAAATACAGGAAAAAAAAACAGCTGTGTTATAAAGATGAAGCTCTAAGCTCTTTGATTTAGTGATATAAACATATCAAATAACTATCTTTCCGTAATAAAAATATTGTCAAATATAATTGAATTTCTTTTCCTCTTTCCTACTAATAAAGGTACTGTTTATTGATAAAAAACCTGAACTAACTAAATGAAAACAGCTATAATTTCCATGAAAAATTGTGTAAGAATACTAATACTACAGACACTTAATTAAAGTCCTCACCCAAAACATATAATTTCAAAAAATAAGAAAAAAAAGAAAACACTTCTTTTCTAAGGATATAAAATGTCTCCTTTCAACAGCTGTAAAAAATTCTAGACAATATTATATTTACTGAAAAAAAAAAATCTCTCACCTCACAGCTGCACTCAAACCAGTATCTGTCAAGCAGG